GATGAAACAGAACATGCAGGGGCAGTTAAATGATCTGTGCGCCGTTGCTAGGAGACACCAGGGCTGGATGGTGGAGATAAACGCTGGGATCCCTGGCGGCGGGGCAGAGGGGGGGAAATAGTGAGGGGGAGGCAGAGGGTAAGAAAGGGAGAGTCTAGATAAGAGGGGGGGGGGGGGGGGATGAGGCCTGTCACAAAGACAGAGGCTTCCTCGTCCCTGGCAGATAAGCTCTCCCTCCAACCCCCATTTGACTAATGTCTCATCGTCTGTTATTCACAAAAGTTGGACAGTTGTTTTCCCCAGGGACCCCCGTCCTTCACATGTCCAGTTCACACATTTTCAGTGATTTAAAGATCCCATCCAGGCATGTTGTATGGATAGAAAATGCTTTGAATATAATCTAACCTTACAGTTTATCCACAAAGACATAAAAACTGAAATATACACTGAAAATATACACTGAAAATATACACTGAAAATTAAAGTCAACGTTAATTAAACGTTGACTTTAATTGAATGTATTACGTCCACAGATTGAAAGCAATACAATTAAGGTTCCGTTCAACTTAATATTATTGCTTTCAACCAACCTAATGCAATTATGTGCAATCAGTTGACATAATAATAATTTATTAAAGTGTGCGCTTCAATTTTTTCAGTGAACTACACATTTCTTTCTCCAAAAAATCCAGAAGATGTCAATATTATGGAAGCCCTGAGAGACTAGTGAGAACATCTCAAGGGATCCTTTTTCTAAGTCCACTTTACAAAAACAAACAATCTTGTGTTTCTGACTTACAGCTCAAACTTCTACATAAAGTAAAAATATGCCACATCACATTTTTTATCACATTTTGACATATAGGGGGAATTTCAGGCATCATTCTCTAAACATGATTTGAATGCTGCTTTAAATACTTCACCTGCCTCTGTCAAGGCCTCTTAACTGATGTCCTTTTTTCAGATACGAATAAAATTGCAATTCAGTCTCATAATTAAGTCAAAGCTGCTACCCCGTACTAAAAAAAGCACGTAAGCTTAAAGGGTCAACATGTATTTTTCCTCAGTCAGCCTTAGAGTGCTACATGAACATCACATTTGAATGTTAAACACATGGTGTTCCGTTCTGCTCTTTCTTCTAATTTAAAGTAGGCTTGCTCAGGTATAAAAGGTGATGTAGCTATTTCTTAACATCGATTAGCCTTCCAGGAACAATACTCAGAGTAAATGCCTTTAGGGTACACAGCACATCTGGTTTAAACCAAGCCTGGGGGGTTTTACTTATAGTGCAAACTCTCCAATCACCATCAGTGATGACCTCACTGCAGTCCTGTACATCTACCAAATGTTTTTCTCCTTCTTTCTGTTTCCTTACTCACTTGAACCCCGTCATTAGCAGCAGAGATTAGAGTATAAATCTGAAAGCAGAACTTTTGTGAACACTGTCTCATGAGTGGTGGAGCCTCTCTAAAATGTAAGCACCGGAAAAAGCTTCAGCTCGCAACGTCATCCCTCATCAATCTGGTCGTCTCCGGTCAGCCCGGCAGAAAAAGACTAAAGCTGGAGGAGAGCGCTTCCTCCATCAACTGTGAGGGAGGCGGTGAGTGCACGGCGTGATTAGTTGTGAATGGGACGCAGAGGTCTGATTGGTGGAGAGAGCCGGGGTCAGGCGTTCTGCCAGCAGCTCATACAAGGCTGCTGATTGCTTTTCATCCTCTGATTACAGTAATTTAGATCTGCAGCAGGCCGAGGGGCCGCGTCTGCTGCTGCTCAGTCTGGGGCTGCAGTTTGGTTTGCTTAGGGATCTTTTTTATTGTCAGAACTGAGTGAATGAGGCTGAACAACTACACACAGTGTTCACTAAAAAAAAACACAACAGCTGTGTTTTGATAAAAGGTGGGATTCATGTTTGGGAGAAAGTCTTGGGGGTGTGATTGAAGGAGAATGTGATTAACTATTAAAAGGATTTTTTTGTAAAATTCTACACAATTTGGTAAATGCAGATCATTATTTGTTTTGTCAGAAGATACTGAATCAATCATGCTAACATATTGTAATCATCAAATTCAAAATGAAACCTTATTTTTCATAACTCATTTTTGGATTTAAACATAATCAGTTTCTTACATGGTGAATTAAAGAAATATATAAAATGTGTATCTTCAGAATCTAATTTTGTGAAATGAAAAACAAAGAATCATATACTTTTCAAATAACTAACATCATTTTGGATTCAAAACACTCAAACATACACACAGTTCACAACCACTACATATTCCTAAAAATTGTATATGTTGTAAAAATCCATGGCTCCAATATCCAATTCTGTGAAATATAAAACAATGAAAGCTATTGGTTTTCTCCCTTTTGTCTTTGAGGCGGCCATTTGGTCACACTGGGACCTTGAATAATCAAAGCTGATGAGGCGGTTAGTTGCGAAAGGTTTTTCCAGGAGTGGAGGTGATGATTAGTCAAGGAACTGAGCAGCGCTGGCCTCTTCACCCGCACACATTACAAGGTTAATCTCTCCATTGATTACAGCAGCAGAGAAACCAATACCTCACTACAGGTTTTCTGTTTCCACATATGTATGTTTGCTGCTCTGTGTGATGCCGCTGTAGACTCACAGGAATGATGAATGATGCTTTCAGTTGATACCATCTTTCTACCACACCCATTACTCCATATTGGAAAAATAAATCACCTTAAGCACAACATTAGATTCACATTTATTGACAAAAACATTTTTCAAAAGTGTTTCTTTCTACAGCAAAGACTATTTTCACAGAAGTAGTAAAAACAATGACTTGTGTAAAGGGCATAAATATACATTCTGACGTCTGCTGACTGACTTCTAAAATCTTCACCATGATGAAGACGAGGAGAGGTCCACAGATGTTCCTGTAACCGTCCATCATTTAGTCTCCATGGGTGATCAGATAGATAACACTGTTTCAGAGATATCTGCCCCAAAGGAAGCCTCTTCATTCTCTCACACACAAACACATCCACATACAGTATATACAAACACAACAGTGAATCGGTGCAGTGTGTGACCTCGTGCCCCCTGTTTTTGGTGACTCCACATCATGTTGTGTGTTTTCATGTGTGTTTACACAATAGGTGCCCGTGTGCCCGGCTCCTGGGGGCCCTCGCCCTCTGGGATGCTGCCTCAGAGGTGACCTAGTTCTCCTGATTGTCAGCAGAAGGCAGTTCCATCAGCTCGCTTTGTGCCGAGGCACTGAACTGTGCTGGGACCCTGGGACAGGCCAATTGGACTTGTGTAATGAAGCTCATCATGCACACACACACACACGCACACGCACATGCACACGCACACACACACACACGCCGCTGCTGTCATTGAGTCCAGGGGGGCAGCAGAATTTATAACAGCCATTTATTACCTCCGCCTTTATCAAAGAAATGTGATTCCTCGGCATGTTTCTGACGCATGCACCGCACCGCCATTATGGGCCATTATTGGGAGGTGACAGAGATGGAGCAGAGGGTGTTGATAGATGTTGGTGCCGGGCCCGCTGTCATTACGCCATTTATTGAGCGGAGAGTGCGATGCACTTCCCACAAAATGGCCGCCGAGCTTCAACATGGCTCCGACTGCGAGGAGTAAATGATTCACATCTGACGATCGGCGCTAAAAATGTAAAACACGTTCATTTGCTCCATGATAAAGACAGAGATTTCAGTACTTCTTCACAGCGGTGTATGAATGAATATTTACACATGACATTAATCATATGATACTGTCTAGGATGTAAAGAGATACATAAAAAAACACATCTCAGCTTTGAGAAATATGTACAAGAACACTGCACATTCCCACACTGAGTATGGGTCACTTTGCACAACATACTGTTACACTGAGTGCAGCAACTTCCTACAGCCTCTCTAGCCTACAGAATACTCATCAAATACAGAAGCAACAATGGCATTACATTCATATAAATAACAAGAATAATCCCAGTTTACCCCCAAAGAGTCACTTCAGCACTTTTGGCTCCATTCATGTGTTTAAACTGAAGACCAGCTTCACTGTGGGTCCTTTTCTCCCTTTAGAGGTGCAATAACTGTCCTTGAGGTCGTGACACCAAATCCCTTGGTATATAAAAAAAAAGGAAAGGTCTCTTTGAGCATTGTTCCTTACAGGTCAGGGGGCCTTGGAAGTCCATGGATTTTTTTCATAAGGCCCAGGAGATGGCAGGTTTCACAGATAAGAAGATATCAGTTCATCGTCGTCTCTTTGAATGGCACAGATGTAGAACAGAGTCGACACAGAGTAATCCTTCGTCTTTGTTTACTTTGAGACAAAGTGTCCGGCCTGAAGGCGGTCAGCGGAGACGTTGAAGGTGTTGGTAACTGTTTTCTTACAAAGAGCTGAAGTCCCGCTCCGTTTCCAGGTTAGCTTCTGTTCCATCATCATCAGTTTTCAATAGATTTTCTCGTGTTGCTGGATTTTAATCATCAGTATATAATTGAAAATGCAGAACATGATACTTGTCTTCTGTCCATATCCTACATTAAGCAGATATCTACTACAGTCATTGTGTTTACATTTACTTATCACATCGGAGACCATTTTGGAAATAAGTGTACTTTACATGTTATCCCTTGGATTGTTTTGTCTCCTATATTCGGAATGACATCAATCAATTGACCATGTTACAGTCAGATTTTTCCATTCATCTAATTTCTCTAACGCCAAGTAAACAAGAAACCTGGTTTCTGAAGGAGGGCTAAGAGAAAAGAGTTTAAGTCTAGAATGAATCTCACAATAAATGTAGTTTTCTCCTGTATAATTATTTTTGAAAACATACTGTCAAGTGGCAAGATTATAGACACCATTATACCAAAGAATATGGTTGTTAAATACCTGAATCATGTTTCAGCTTATTCCAAACACTGATGAATAAAAACCCAGGTTTCTAAAACACGATGTGTCTGTCTGGCCTGAGAGGTGGGGGGTGGGGGGTGGGGGGGGGGGGTGGGGGCCTCGTGGAGCTCTGCACCCCCATCTGCTCCTCATGGTTGGGGATGATTGCTTGAGAGAAAAGATGGCGAACCAAACTGCCGTCCTCTCTTTTCTATGCAGCAGGTTCTCTGTCTGAAGTAATGAGTCACGTCAACCGCTTTCTGCTCGCAGCGCCGTGGTAACGCAGGAGAGGAGTGATGGAGCGAAGCGAGGAAAAGAGGAGGGAAATGGAGAGATAGAGAAAGGCGGAGGGGGAGAGAAAGAGAGCAAAGTGTGTTCATAGACAGTTCTTTCTGCTCCTGGCAGATTCTCCATCTCTCTGTTCCTGCGTCCTCCATCTGTCTGCTTTCTCTTGTTGCTCCCAGGATGAAAATGACAAGAGGAGAGGGCTGCGTGGATTTTTTTTAGGCTATGCCTGTGTCCTTTGATTTGGCGAGCTGTTGCCCGATCTGTCCGTCCTTCACAGCCCTCGGCCTGCGTTGGGCTTTAGCTTGATGACCCACTCTCCTCCTGAGTTACTGTTGAACAGATCCAGAAGGTGTGTGTCGGGATCCAGGCAGTGCTCACCTGCAGAAACACACACACACATGAGTAGAAGCCCTCGTTGTTTGAATGTTAAAATATATATAAAATAAGGTTGATTTTACTTATGAAAACGGCTACAATTAAAGATTATTTTCATCATCGATAAATCTGCAGAATATTGTCTCAATTCATCGAATAGGGTACAAATGGACATTTAAAGTTTGTTTGATACCTATCCTGAGAGATTCTTGGAATTATTATTCGAATTTCTTTTTCAACTATTCAATAAATTGTTTTGCAATTTTGTTTTATCAATTCAAGACTGGCGTTTGATTTAAACAGTAATCATAAACCAATAACCACAGATACGAATGTTTAAATTCAGAAGTTTCATATCACAAAACTGATCTGCATAAACACATTTTCTCTTCTGTGTTCAGTGTGACAGCTCTCCTGTGAGTGCAGACATGTGTGTAATGAGCATTTGTCTGCTCTGATAACTGCAGATGCACCGCTCGTGTCTCTTTGCCGTTTGCACACTTCATTACGTAAGACCTTGCTACCCTCATTAGTTAAACGAGCAGAAAGACATGCAAATGCAGAAACACTGCAGCCACGTCCAACTCACCAATGTTCCCTCCCACTTCGAACAGGGCGCAGTCCGGATACGCCACAGAGCCGTTTCTGTTGAGACACACAAAAAACACGTGTAACATCTGTCTATTCATGAAGGACATGTCTTTCTAAAAGGACATATACGTCAGGTGACAACAGACTACCACAAAACTCTTAAACTAAACTGCTGTGCACACTACGTGACATCATCAGCATGTATTCATTTAAACGGGCAGAATCGTACCTTCTCATTTTGCCCTTCCCGTTGTCAGGGCTGCGGAGGGATTGGCGCTGAAACTGTGTGAGCAAGTCTGAGGCTCGAGAGTTGATGTTGAGTTGATACTCCAAGGTGCCGCTCACCAGATCCCCGAGCTGGATCTTCACCGTACGACACAGCTATAAAGGGAAACAGCAGTTAATACATATTATTCATTGTATAGTAAGTATATATATATTCATCTTGCAATCTACTCATTTATATAAATAGTTATCACCGCAATAAACCGAATTTAATTTAGTCTTAATTTACATTATTTAATTTCATATTCTGTTCTTGTACATATCATATTCTATTTACATGTATATAGACTTTTTGCACTACTTTTTATTTTTGTATTTTTGTATTTTATGATATACTGTATGTTGCATTGCTGGAGGAGCTCAGGTCAGAAGAATTTCATTGCCATTTCTACACTGTAGCTTTGTGCATATGACCGTAAAACCTTTGAATCTTGAATCTTTGAAAAAGAAGTAGTAGCAATGTCATCTAAACACCGAACACCTTGTTACATTTGACTGACAGAATGAAGCCGCTCACCTCTGACGTGTTCTTATCCGTTTTGTCTCGGCTGTCTGTGTGGATCTTCCTCAGAAGGTTCTTGATGCGGCGATCGTAGAACTGGTAACGCCGGTTACTGTTTTCATTCAGCTTACGCACCTGGCTCATGAGGAAGTTAGGAATCTGAAGAGAAAGGGGAACATGATGCAACATTATTTTTATGGGCTTTCTTTGCCTTTCTTTATCAATGTTTCTTTATTGAAGGACAATCATAGAAGGCGCAATTGAGACAATGGTCTTCCTTCCATTACTGATGGAACTATTCATGAAACTAACTAACCATCGCCACCCAAAACCCCTACCTTGAAAACCCAGAGAGATACAAGTTTAATCAAAAAGCACATTGATTCCCTTAAAAGAGAAAACAGTATATAAATAATAAATAAATAAAATAATAAGTAAAGACAGATAAGTAAATAAAAAGATAAATACGAGGTATGTTGGGAGTGTATGGAGGCTATTGAAATAATCAGGCTTTTTTGCATTCAATGGAAAAAACCGTTGTAGAACACCTGGGCTGTGAGAACCCTAATAATGAACCAAATCTAATTACAGCTTTGGCTGAAATTTCATTTCCAAATGGCCAGACAACAGGGCTATGAAATGGCAAGTTTGTGTGAAGAGTCTTGGATCTTTATTAACTAAGAAACCGTTCTAACTTCACAGAAAATGTGGTTATGAGCATAAGTACAAACTGAATAAAAAAATCCCCTTTTTTATCGAATTCTTCCACAGTTTAAGGTTGAACATGTGTGCGGCCCTACCGTCCAGAGCAGGTCCTGGTAGCGGATGAGGAGCCTCATGACGTCAGCGGCCTTCTCTGCGTGTCCTTTCTCCGCGCCCTCCGTCAGCCGGCTGGGGACGGCCTTGTGGAGGAAGAGGTTGGGAGCCATGATGGTGGCTACTGCCCAGAGGTTCATCCTGTTCTTCCTCTCCCTGGAGACCACCTTACTGAGGAACTCCAGGAGGGCCTGAGGGACACACGGACAGAGACAGGTTGTGAAATAAAAGGCAATATTTGATCATATTACATGTTTAACCTGGATGTTGAACTACACTCACTCATTCTCCACTGAAAATTGAATTCTAAACTTTTTGTTATGGTTTCTTATTTTAGTATTTATTACTGACACTCATCACGAAAATCATATTACAACATATGACAATTCTCAAATGTTTAGGCATATGCCAGACAGTTTGCACACGGCACAACACCTGCTTTTATAAAGTCTTTCTAGGGCGTTACCTATGCTAATAATAAAACATTTAGCCACAGACTTCCAATTTAGGATAAATTCATTCAGCACATGTCTTAAAAAAAGAAAGTTAAGAGAAATGTTAAGAAAAGCTGCATGAGGCCCATTGTATAAATCTTGGAAAGGCAACCTACACTGAGGCACAAAATGGAGTGAAGCGAGCTGTCGCATTGAATGAATAATCTGTATCTCCTCTACTGAGAAGTATGTTAATGCACAGTTAGTTTCAGCTGCCTCCACTGGAGTCAAAGTAATTAGTTCAGGTGGGTTTAAAGCTCCTGGATGCTATAAGCAGAGCTGACTGCTCACTTGTGTCGGTGAAAGTGAGTCATGGTTAATGCAATCCATTACATAACAGAGCAGAGGGTTTCAAATGTGGATTAAACTGTGGATGTGCTAATGCATTATCAAAACAGGACTTTGGTCCTGTCAGGTTTCGTAAAGAAGGGGCTAAATTGAGATGAATTTCAGCTAGGAAAAGTGATTGTGAAGAATACATGATGTTACTTTGAATTTTGCTCTTTTGGGGTCATTTATAGATTCCGTAAAAATGGCTGTGTGATGTTTCTAACACTTGAAAATCTTTTTTTTTTAATTGTAGTAGCTTATTTTTAACCTGCATTTTGCCTTTAGATCAAGTGTTTGCATAGTGGAGGAAGTTTACTCAAGTAAAAAAGTAGCAATACCACACTGTAGAAATACTCACTAAAATGTTAGTTCTGTGTGTGTGTGTGTGTGTGTGTGTGTGTGTGTGTGTGTGTGTGTGTGTGTGTACCTTTAGTGTGTTCCTGTTGGGCTCAGGCAGCAGCAGGATGAGCAGGTTCAACATGTGGAGTTTCTGCCTAAGCTCTGTGATGTCTGTAGGAGGAGGGAGCAAAGGTAAGACGGGTTTCACACACACACACACACACACACACACACACACACACACACACACACACACACACACACACACACACACACACACACACACACACACACACACACACACACACACACACACACACACACACACACACACACACACACACACACACACACACACACACACACACACACACACACACACACACACACACACACACACACACACACACACACACACTTCATTTCCTCTGTGTGTAAGAGTAATGGGATATCTTTAGATTAATGACATTGTGACAGGTGGCCATTAGGTTTGTTAGCTTATGTCTCTGTGGTCAAAAGTCATTTATCACGTTGTGCTGATTCTCCTCACAAACTAAACATCAGTGAGTCATCAATCAGATCATATTCATATGAGTCCATTCTTATATTAAGGTGAGACTATTGTGAAAATAGCACATCTTTTACAGCTGCTTTGTCACAGTGCGGGGACGCCTCTTCAAAGGCTATCAGTCTGTTGATCTTAATGTTGGTTTCAGAAGCAGAGAGGGTGAAGCATTGGGCTGAAGAAGCTACAGAGGTCATTATAATGTGAACTCTGCGGGGCTCTCTGGGAGAAATGGGCAGATGATTTATGAAATCTTGTAGAAAAAGAAAAGAGGCATGACTGACTTGTACAGTAAATGCAACTTGCCAGAAAAGTAAACACATGCACAATACAGTCAGTCACTTCAGATACACACCCTTCTGCTTACTGGTGTAATTTATGATCCATAACAGGGCTTGTCATTATTGTTATAGACGTTCTTAATTTACTTTACACTTTAAGTATAGTAAAAGTGAAATGACACAATCACAAAGTAAACAATAGTTGGCTACAAAAATAATTGTAGACTTGTTTTTTATATAAAACATTGAGTAACTGGAGCTCCATTAATCAGTATCTTATTTCATCTAACTAATAAAGTGAATTAAAGGTATGTAAGTGTACCTCTTTAAGTGAAACTGAAACTTAAAAAAAGAATACACAAACATACTTTTAATACAAACAACAGACGTCTCGCAATTGTAACAGCCTCACCCAAATGGACAAAAATAGTATGGGTGTGTTAGTGTGACACGACACTCTCTTTTCAAAGCTTACACTGTATATAAATCTGATCCAAATGTAGCACACTGACCTCTGACGGCACTGAAGGTGTTGAGGTACTCGGGGGTGAGCAGCGGGGCGGGCAGTTCCCGGATGAACTTCTTGAGCAGCGCGGCGGCGTCGTTGGGACTCACGTCGTCCCAGCTGACCTGCCCCGAGTAGAAGTTTGTCTCCAAGTTCTGCTGCAGCATCTGCAGGTAGAAAACAACGAGAGGCTTTCAGAACGCAACAACACAGAGAGTCAGTGCAGAGTTACAGACATATCAGTGAATTTATTATCAGTGACTTTGTTCAACGCTTTTTATTTACTGTAATTGATCCTTGTTTTAAAGGATTTGCGACTCCTTTGCGAGGCCTTCATGTAAACCTTTTTAGAAAATGCAACTTCTGAATGGACCTCAAGGTTTTCAAGGGAATGGTAAATAGTAGCTTTTGTAAATGTTGCATTTTCAGTGACATTCATTTTGAATTATAGAGATAAGAAGAGCTGTTTGTCACTCACAGAGCTGACATGGCAGCTATTTGAAACTCATTAGTATCAAATGAACTCTTCATGGCTGTGGATGTTACAAACGGAGCATGAGGCCATAGCTAATTAACTGACACCGTTATCAGTCTCTATTTGTGCCTTACATGTATGAAAGAGTTTATAAGAAATATCATCTTCAGTTTCTGATTCCTTTTATGGAAATACTTCAATGGTTTAGGCCGAATTTTGAGTTATATAGAAATATGCTGAGGGTGGTAGAATATGACTATTTGTATGTCTTATTTTGGTCCACTTATATAACCATAAAGATTTAAAAATGAAATATCAAAATGATAAATTCTCTCTCATTATCTTTTCTGTCTAATGTATATTCTGCCACAGGTACGTGATTGTCCCAGTGATTTGTTCTAATTTGCTAAATGGCGCCCTCTTCTGTCTGCTTCAGTTGAATTGATTCACCTACAGTGCTTTGGGTGAATTCATTACAGTATGAAAAGGTGAATCTGGCAGCAACAGCTGGAAAAACCTTTATTGATTATGTCTCATTGGACTTCTAAATGTCATCTATAGTTAAACTGAGAGAAGCTGCTTGGTTTTCTGTTCAACCACTTCTGACATTTAACATTTCCGATATATTTGCCCCCCTTTAGGTCATAAAACATCATTTAATATATTTGTCTCCCTTTAGGTCATAAAATATCATTTAATATATTTGCCCCCCTTTAGGTCATAAAACATCATTTAATATATTTGCTTTGGACATTAGATAACTCAAAAGTGTAAAATGAAACCATTTTGAGGAGATAATGTGGTGCAGTGTCAGTATTTGTGACTGTATGTGTGGATCCAAATGTTGTACCTTGATTCTGGACTGAGATCCTGGAACCCGCAGGATACCCTCCGAATCAACGCCCTTCTTCTCCAAAAACGACAACAACTGCAGAGGGAGAGAGAGGAAAGAGAAAGAGACATTACAGCCAGGCAGCAGCAGATACGCATCTCACGCTCACCTCTGCTGGTTATTCTCAGTAACTGCTGCTACACGCAGGGTGTGGTCAAAGATTTTCACATTCAGAGGACACTGAGGTTGTTTGTATCTGCTTATCTCTAAAGACACTGTTTGCAGGTTCAACAAAACCAAATATGTGCTGAACACATGTTGAGCATGTGAATTAAAAAAGATGCACCTGTCAGGCCAGATCTATATCCGATCTGATATATTATGGGCACATTCAAAAACACTAATGATTTCAGAGGTTGTTTGGATGAAATACTAAACTAACAAGTCAAGCCCACATACAGTACACGGCACAGATAGTATCGAAAACAAATACGTTCATATAAAAACCCATCTTCCTTGTATTTATTTTCAAGGTCAGATGCACTTCAGGTTCTTACCGCTTGCATGTAGAGAGGAATTGAGGTGTTTGGCTTCATTTTCTGATCGTTTTCCAGCAGCGTGGCCAGCGGCACCCCGTACAGCGGGCTCTCTGTGAAACACACAACGTGTCATTTCATTGTTCTCTGCTTTACATTGACATTTAGCCAAAGTTGCGTGTGTAATGCTGTGTGTGTGAGCAGGCCGACATGCAGAAGCTGCAGCGTGGCTGATAGATGTGTTGGAGCAGAACATGTACCTATCGTTTAATGTAGAGAGAAGAAATACTAAAATATTTAGTAAAGAGGCATGAGCTTTAAATAGATTCAAAGAATGCAGGAAACTGGAGGAGGTCTCTGCAGATTTGACAAATTTGACAGTTTGTGCGAAGCTAGAGCTGGCGATAACCAGGTGCCATTTTGAGTCATTGTTTTCCTTTGATGTCATTGGCTAACAATTAAAGAGAACATATTAGAACAACTGCACATAGTTATTATTGTATCGTCACAACACTAAATATGAGCCTTCTGCAGCATTTTTGTCCTGGTGTGTGTGTGTGTGTGTGTGTGTGTGTGTGTGTGTGTGTGTGTGTGTGTGTGTGTGTGTGTGTGTGTGTGTGTGTGTGTGTGTGTGGTCCCTTCATGTGTATGTGAGTGCTTTCATACCTGTGTTTTTCCTCTTGCTGTTTTTTTGCCTTTTGACCTCCAGCTCTAAGAGGTCGCACAGCGCTGTCATGTCGATGAGAGCCAACTGACGCACCTTCTTCATGTCAGAGTGCGACAGATCCTGAATACGAGTCACTCCGAGACGGCACTTGGGGCAGATCACCCGCTGAGAAGGTGAGAGGCGAGGCAGAGAGAAGTGAGGAGAGGAGGATTGGAGATGAAGTGGAGGTGAAGAGGACAAAGCAGAAAAAAAAGCAGAAAGAGAGAGAATGGGAAGAAAATGGCAACAGTGTCAAATCCTCTACATAATACTCAATGTAATGAAATCAGTCCTTTGCCTGATTAAAACTCTCTTTCCCTCTCACTGATGAAACTAATTTACCCTGAAATAAATAAATCGCTTGGACTCTGTGACACAACAACTCTTCTTTTGTTTTGAGCTAATCCCCTTATTCATTTATTCTGCTTAACCCTGTTATCTAACTAACAGCGGGGTAGATTAGAATTAGCTTACAATAACAATACTGTGTGAATGAACAGGTTTACATGAAAAAGACCCAAAACCCAACGTCGTATATAGATCCGAACTGAGGCTGAAATGTTCTGCGGTTTCTGTGAAACTAAAGCTCTAAATGACTGAGATTATTTGTCTTCCTTCATCAGAGATAAATCCACCGCGGTTCACAAAAAAGACAAACTGTTAATCGGGGTTATTATTCAACATTTATGTGCCTTCCCTTTCCATAAGCTGTGCGATTACTTTCATGTCCTGTTTTCTGTCAATATCACACCCACCAAAGCAATTGAATGCAAAAAATACACACAGTTGGAACGCTATTTCCCTTTTTTGCCCCAATTGTCTTCCTATTTCATTTACAAAGTTCCCTATTTGAAATTACACTTTCAAACTTTCCACAGTTTTCCAGTCATGAGTAGGCGAGGGGAGAGTGTTTCGGTGCTTACAGGCAGGGTGCAATCCTCTTTCCTGCGCTGGCTGTTGTTCTGCGGCAGGCTGGCCTGTTTGAGGAAGATGACGGCCTGTTCGCAGTAAGCCACGTCGGTGATGAAGAACTCCTCTTTAGGAGCGCCTCGCTGATGCTCCGTCGGGACAGCTGAGCGGGAAACAAACACACACAAACTTAAGTCTGTTTGTCATGAAAGGAAGGTCACAGTAAAGACGTAGCATGGAAGTGAATTTGATGCACGGTCGGAAGGGAAATAGAGGAAGAAAAACAAATATGAGGAAATGTACCCACACGCTCTCTTTATCAAAATAAGAGGACATTAGAAGGTGGGACCAAATTCCTAACTTGTGTCTCTTATTACTTTGGCATTTGTCATAGTATGGCACTTTCTTTACTGGATATAACATGTGTATCTTTGTTGTTTAGAGATAGCATGTTTTTATAGTTAAAACATAAACAACTGAATTCGATTCAGAGATTTTTCTGTCAGTAAAACTCCAAGAAAGCAGAGAAATTAAGTTATTTCCCTAAGGATAGTTCCCCTCTTCATTTTTACGAAGTACAACACCGTAATACTTTTGAAAACATTGAGGTTTGACAAGTGACTAGTAGTAGTTACGTCTAAAGTGCAATATTTACATATATATCCTTCTGAAATGTAGTGGAGTAGAAGCATAAAGGGGCATACAAAAGAATCAACTAAAGTAGAATGACCTTTTGTACTTGCATTCCTTCATCAAATCTAGCAGTTATTAAGTTATAAAGCCTTGTTTTTATCAATTACATTATCAAAACAATCGTAGCTATTGCTGTTTGTGCTTTGAGTGTACTTTCAGTTCTTTGTTTTTCCCTTAGGTAACTTGTATACATGTTGCTTACTGTAACTGTGTGTAGCTCTTACCTGATAAAGGTGATTTGGGAAGTGATGCCATGCTGTTGTGGGCAGAGTCTTCACTATGATGGGAATCAGGCAAACGGGTCTGGTGAAAGAAAGCATTTAATAAAACGTCAAGTCCAATTCTAAATCATATAACCAAAGATTACAAATCACAAATGTGCCTAAAGGGGCTCCAGAAACAGTTTACAGCATAGGGAACCCGCTAACCTTGGAGCCTGGATCCAGATTAGATAAAAACTCTCCAATAAATTGTTAAAGCAATTGTGGTGGGTTCAATCTCCTCCTATGTCTTGTGTACAGACATACAAGACTCTAAGGAACAACTTTAGTAAAAGAAAATCACTCCTGTAATATGTTCTCTACCAGTGGGAATAGCCTTGGTGTATCATATTGTCCACTGAGCGGATGGAGAGTGTTTCCTTTGATAAGGGGCAGATAAGGATCAGAGGAGCCGTGTTCTCTCTCAGGACAGCTCAGACAGACAGGCAGGACAAAGCATGGCCTTTACATGTGATTTGCCTTTATTGTCACAGGTCAGCTCCTCTGCATGGAACAAGACAGCCCAGCAGAGTCCTGACAGTCACCGGGGAAGTGGCTATTTTATATTTCAATGCATGCAGCTTTGACTCAGAGAGCAGAGCTTGCTGTCAACGTGTGTGACAGAATAACAGAAAATCCTGGAAATGCAGGCAACCATTTTATAATGTATTCATATCAAGAGGAGCTTAGTGTAAAATCCACATGTAGTTCATAAAGCAAATGTATGAATGTGACTAACCATTCAATACTGCTTTCATCTTAAGGACCCCATGAATAAAAAGCAAACATTTTTTTTGAATGCATTTCATTTGAAGGTATCAACAGCAGGATACCAGAGGTTAGGGTGCATTTAGTGATTAAAATAGTTTTTAAAAGGTGTTTCAAAGTCCTGACCTTGGAGATGGAGGGGTTGAAGATGTCGCGGACGTCTCGAGGGGCCGGTTTGTTCCTCTTGCGGAGGGACAGCGTGTAGGAGTCCAGGCGCCGCTGCACGGCCTCGGCCTGGGTCCGGGTCAGAGTGGACAGCAGCACCGCGTTGTCTACATCCTCGCTGTCCTCGCTGATGAGGGTCGACAAACCAGCATCGACCAACCACTGCTCCTCCTGTTCACCTTCTGAGACACAGAGAATACACCGGGATGATGAAAACACGTACATATAATGTTAAATTAAAATGTAGTATTTTAGCAACTTTGACTACATGACTAGAATGGTTTTGTGCATAAACAAACAATGTTTCAAACAAGTAATACTTGTACTAAGAAATATTTTCAAATAAATGTCTTAGCTCGTTAAGACTTTAGTAAGGTATCAATCTGCTAGGATACCTCTGTAGCACAGTCCAATCCAAAGCGTGTAAACAGGAAGTCGCTGTAGCATAACTATCAAATATAATATTTTAGGGGGTTACACAATAGATGTGACTTAACTGCCTGCCTTTTGTAAAAGTAATAATTTTATTTTTGTCTGCATTGTTGGACAAATAGGTGTTTCAGAGTGAGAAGTGTGATATTAGTGATGGTTTAATATTGTATTCTGACTATTTAGCAAAATGTGGCATAACGTTTTGTATTTTGAGGCATGTTGTTATATTTTCGTGAAGTGTGAATATTATTTTAACGCATTTTGATCAAGTGTTAGCTCAGATCTGTCAACCACAATTAGCCTTATCATTTTAATTGTTCAATGTAAACGGGGAATTTGCAAGTAATCTTATGCTAGCATTATGAGTTAATTCAGATATACACAGCAGTTACACTGGGAACTTAATGTCACTTTTTAGTAACAACTAATCAGTCTTTAGAAATGAATACATCTCAGATGAGTAAACACTTAAAATGCAACCAAGAATGTGTTGCATGAAGAGCTTGTGACACTAAATACAGTAGTTGCTAAGTTGTAAAACGTATGTAGGAAGACAATAAAATAATTTAATCTTGAAACTAAATAATGGGACACGCTAACAGATGCAAAATGCAGACTTCAGAGGATTTACTCATTAGTGGCAAATTCATTCAAAAGAGTGATCTCTTTAACATAGCATCAAAAGGATAGAATGAACACACCCAGATCATTTGAATGGACATAATAAAAAAGCATTCCCACGATGAAAGGCTTTGTGGTTTCTGCAGATAAAACACCCCCTGCCACAAAGTGTTTGATAGTGTTGTCATGGTGATGAGCACTTCTTTGCTGCAGGAGGGAAACCTGATACGTTGCCATGGAGGATCTCAGCAGCAGCTGTGCTGAAAACGGATGCTTTGTCATTCGAAAAACATGAAGTCATGACGTCTATCTCATCTCTCACTATCTATTCTTCATCTTTCAGCACAGGATTATCAGGATTTACCTTCTGACTGTCTGGAGTCTCTCCTGGAGCATTCGAGGTCTGTGTAGCCACTCCCCTGTCGGATGGTCTCCACCTCACTCCAGAACGAGTCCAGGCACAGTTTGTCGGGTTGCTGCTCCTGGTCCTCGGAGGATGCTGTGTGTGAGGTGCTGTAAGGGTGCTCAGCGGCTGCCTGGTCCTGCGGGCTGGCCCAGGGCTCCACGCTCATCTCGGTGGGGCTGGGATTTCTGTTGCAGACATACACACACGTAAAGAAATTGCAAGCATGCATGCAAACCAACGAGCAGAGACACAAAGACGCATACAAACACAGGAGGAATAGACACTGGAGCGACGCAGGGAGGATGAATCAGCCGGGGGAACCCAGAGAGATGGAGACACAAAAGGAGCGGGATGGAGGGAGGGCCGGAGCGAGGAGAGACGGCGAGAGCGGACACAAAGGGGGGTCTCTATTGTTCTTGAAAAATACAGCCTGGAGGCACAGTACCCTGCATATCCACTAGATGTCACTGTTACAAAGTGAGATCCTGTTGGTCACACCCCTTTATGTGCTGAAACAGACACATGGCTGAGACCCACTCACAATAGAACAGAAAACATGCACAGAACAATTTCAGGAGAGTAAATCATAAATCATCTGAGATTCTTTACTGAACACAAACAGCAGAAATGCAGCCAGAAATCGCTCAGTATGACTCAACAACAGAGGGGACTGTTCTCTGACAACAATGGGACACACTCAGCTGTAGGCAGCCTCTTATCCTCGGGCACTAAAATGTGATTTTGTTGATCACAGACACAGGAAGTGGTCAGCTGAGTCACTCCATCAGTGTGCGGTCCAGTCACATTCCTCCAGTCAGCGAATATCAAGAGACATACCAAACCACACTTGTCCATATCTGAGGAATGCCAGATGGCGTATCATGGCAACATGAGTGTATAGTTAGATGTATGAAAACATACCCGTCATACTTTCAAATGTGAAGCAAAAAGCTAATCAAGAAAGTATTGATAAACACAGCAACTAAATGTCAGTTCAAGGCAGATCAGATTTGTTCCACATCAGTGCTTTGGTGTGTTAAACCAGTTTCATGACATCTCAGAGCAGAGACGGGGGTGGGGGGCCTGTGATGTCAGAAGTTGTGAGTTTCACTAATTCATTATTATTATTATAATAATAATAATAATAATAATAATAATAATAATAATAATAATAATAATAACTAAGAAATGGGTATCAGTGCTGGACCGGAATAATCCGGTGCCAAGTAGTATCAAAACTTAGGCAATAAAACAATACCTGCATTCTTCCTTTTTGTAACCATATCTATCCAATCCAATCCAACTGTATTTCTATAGCACTTTTAAAAACAACAGAGTGCTGTTCATCAATAAATATATATATTAAAAAACAAACAGACATGAAACAAATGTAAAACACAGGAAAATAAAACCATACTCAAAGCCACAGACTGAAAACTCTCATACGAGACGTAACAACAAAATAAAACCCCAATTTAAAAGCACAGACTGAAATGTCTTATAGGTGGTCTGCAAACGCACGGGAGAACAAGTGGGTCTTCAAGCGAGATTTATCAAGAAAGAAATACTATTGGTCTGGTTTTGCTTGCAGCCAATCACCAAGGATACATGCATTTCCTGTGACTTTTATTGGACCACTACTGCAACAGCTACAGCCCATACATACTTTGGTGTATTACACATATATACACATTTTGAACAAATATACATTTATTTGTGTAAAAATCATTTGAATGGGGAGTGATGATGGCATTTTACACGAGTGAATGCTTCCATGTTCATGATGATAATTGGATGAAGTCCAAAAAAAAGTTCTACATGTATATTGTTCTCAGAATCATTTTACAAGTAGTAGTATTGTTCTTTTTCTAATAATATCAAGCCCTAGTTTCACAGTATTCTGAATTAATATACTCTATTATGCAAGAAACAATGTCAGTGATAATGACTGGATTTAAAAAAATAATGTGTTATGGAAACAGTAGTGAAGAAATCACTGTCTTAAGATGAAAATGCAGGTGTGCCTCAATCCCTATTTCATAACTACTTTTAATCGCATTAATCCTCTACATTAATCATAGACTGTGAAATGTTGTCGAGTTAAATGGGTCATGCCATTGTTTTACTCTCTAAACAGGTATGATTACATTCCGACATACATCATGGCAGTATGTAATGTGACAGAGCAGTTTAGGGAGATTCTTATTTTTAACTAGTTTACTTCCTTAAAATTGTCCTCACTACACATTAACTGAACCAGACATTGTATGCTCATAGTCTATTGTAAAATATGATGCACAGAGTTAATGTACTGGACTGTATCAGCAATAGTACAGACCTGTATCTGAATGCAAGCGGTACTGGCTAGACAAAACACGATTATCAGCTATTTGTCCAATTATAAATCAAGTGTTAAGTCTATAAAATGTCATAAAATAGTGGAAGAATGTCCATCATATGAGCCAAACCCTTATCTTTCAAATTGCTGCTTTAGCCGGACCAGCTGAGCCCAACTCAGAGATATTCTATTAAAAAACTAAAAAACAGAGAAAAGCAGAAAATCCTCACAACTGAGTAGCTAAAATCAGCAAAAAATGTTCAAGTGAACAAAATTACTATAACAATGAATCAATTATCCAATTTTCTGTTAAGAAATGTTCTGTTCCATCAGTCCTTTCCGCTTAAGATTACTTTTTAAACGGTTTATAAGTCACAGTTAAAATGTAACATCACGTTTTATGATCTGTCTTTTAATAACATTTGGAAACACTTACATGTTTGTGAAGAAGAATTATCTCCATCAGATCCAACATGTTTTAGGGAAAGAGAATATCGTATCTACTATGTAAACAGCACTCCACTTTAGCCAATGACTTAAGAGTTAGGTTATAGAGTCAGTAATGGGAGCGAACATGTGGTGAAGCATTCCTTATAAGCAGCATTGACATAATCTGTGATATCTTAATACAAAATCTGCCTCACTCGATCGCCCACACACATCTGTACAAAGCCACAACATGTGCTCACAATCTGCCACTATTATGCACACACCACATCAAGCCTGAGAGATCAGAGGTCTGCAGACAGCTGGATCACAGCAGTGCAATCTGGATCCACTTCAACTTCAAGGGATGCAGCCAGAACTCACATGAGACAAAATAATTGAGCATAATTGTTATAAAGCGCTCAAGAAAATCTTTATTGTATGAAGGTTTGTCTTTAGAATATCAGGACACATGTCAAAATATAGCCAACATCTAAAAAATGTGTGAAAATTCACAGTATCCACCACATATCCGTTCTGAATGATATGTTTATTTTACCACACAGTGTACTATCTATACATCTTCACTTTATTTTACCACATATACAACACCCAAACTTCCACCAAACATTTATGAATTTGATCCTTCTGATACAGCTCCATCTCATCACACATACCTGTCTTTTTTCTTTCGGGAACAAGGTTTCACGCGCCTAATCCTCACTGGGCTGAGGGCAGGACGGAGCCTGAAACGGTTCAACCTGGCGCGTGGAAACTGCATGGTGGACCCGAGACTGCTCACCAATACCTCCTCTCTGCCTCCCATATCAACAATGCTAAAGAAATCCAGGAGTTACAATCCAGCACAAAACCTAGCCTTATCCAGTCCTGTTGGTTAGCCACCATGTGAGTGCAGTGTAAATCTGATCGCTGCTCAAAGTTCTCTGTTCTGTTCTGAGTGTGCTGTTGTAAGACTGCACTGAGGCTTGGAGCTGTGTGGCGCGTGATTGTGAGCAGAGTGGAGCTGGATCAGGAATGCAGGAGGGAGTGACAACTCTCTGAACATCAACACTTCATTCACACCTGTCCCCTCCCTCACCAGAGGGGACACACCCTGTGGGCCATCCAATCTGGTTCAAACTAGAAGGTTTGACACTTTTAAAAACTAGTCAAAACACTTTGGGCTGTAACATTAGGGCTGCACGATATATCGTGTTGTGACGATATTAAGTAGGCAAATTAACTCAAACACGTCATGTTACAATTATGTTGCTGCTTGCTACAAAAGGAAAAGGTACTTGAGTGAGTGACATGCAGGATCTGCATGCACAGCAAACCACCAATCACACCCATTCTTGATCAGATCACAGCAGGATAACCATTACATTACATTACATGTCATTTGTTAGACGCTTTTATCCAAAGCGACTTACATACATTCGGTACAGTGGACAATCCCCACAGGAGCAATTTGGGGTGAAGTGTCTTGCCCAGGAATACAACGACATGCTGACTGCAGTGGGACTCGAACTTGCTACCCCCTGATTCGAAGTCCATCATACTTTCCACTGAGCCACAGCCTCCCTTAACCGAGCTAGCTCAGCTTGTTGCTCTGATAACTTAAGATCCAGAAGTCCGTGACTAAAATCCTTCATCTGGTTAAATATCGTTAAAAAAATACCAATTGTATAGCATTAAAGTTCAAGAAAGGATGGTTTGCGGACAAAAAAAACGGTCTTTTCTTCAATTCCTGTATTTTTTCATATCGCAATATATATCGCAGGGGAAAAAAATATCGCAATGTCAGTTTTTTCCAATATCGTGCAGCCCTATGTAACAATTACACTTGTTCAGGTCCAGGTAAAGGTAAAAGGGTAATTGACGTAAACCATCAAGCCTCCGGCTACATGAGTCAAAACTGACTATATATATATCTTGAATACCTGAGGCACTTTAGTGGCCTTTAATTAAAAGCTACACAACTCTACTTGAACCAATACACCAAGGGGTCTTTGTTTCTTGCTTTTCTGTTGCTATTACAATTAACATGATTTTTCCTTTTGTAACTATATGGTTGTGTTGGCAACATCAAATGAAATGCCACATACTAGTGGTGAAACGCTCATGACGTAGTAGGCTGATTCAAATCATGCCTTATATGCAGAAGGTAGCTACATATTGCAACATCCATACCTATCCTAGTCCGACCTCATACCTGAGCTCTTACCCAAACAGTTGCAATAAAATATGTCAGGTATCTGAGTGCTGATGCTGATGTGATGTCAGTGAATGAGCATGAAGCAAGAGAGCAAGAGTGCAACAGGCCTGGCAACCCCTCACCAAATCACTGGCTTATCATCTCTCTTGTCATGCTGATGGCTTATCAGCTGAGGATGTGGAAAGACAAAAGCAGATGCCTGATAAGACATGTGATAAACACATTACAGTGGTTTGGAAACTCGGGTCACTTAAGAAAAACCTACAGTACAAGTTTACTACTTTTACACATTTCCTTAAAACATCAACAGAAACATCAAAAGTATGTCAGCAACCGCACTATGGAACACCCTTAGAGAACAAATGAAAAGGGGAAAAAGTCCCCTTGTTTTGCCTCAAGACGCAAGAGCAAAAGCAGCACTGTCATATTTTAAACCCAGCTAAGAATACTCTTTACCATGCCAGTAAGTAATAAAGTATAAAGCCACAAAACAACTCCTGAAAAGGTCACAGTGTTGGGATTGTTTCTTGTTGAATAGGCCTCACACTAATACAGAGAATCAACAGGAAACGATCCACTCTGAGAGAAGAATGAACAACATATCAAACTGCTTTCTTGTGTTTATTCTCAGCACTGAGGGAAACAACACAAAGTAACCCCAAACTAACATACCCTGGATAAGAAACATGGTAATCCACCCGAAAAAAAGCAGCTCGTGTTTAAAGCAACACACTGTTTAATCCTCGGGGCTGAATTCCATGGCAAGCCTCTTAGCTTGCAGAGAATGCGACAGTTTGCTCACACAGCCTAGAGAAAGTGTTTCTTGTCAAACCCTGTCACAGCATATGCAATCCGTCCAATGATACAGCAAATCCTCAACACAGAAAGAAAACCAAAGTGCCTAAAAAAACTAAAGAGCGGCAACATAGATACTCAAAAGTATGCAACTGTTGCACTGGCCAGTCAAATAAAAAGGCAAACCAATGTGTACAGTCATCAAAGAAAACTGTTAGGACGTCCAGCACCAACTTAATAGTGGAGCTTAATCCATACATGAGTGAGCTCCTAGTCCCAGCATGCCACAGGGGCAGCAGAGGCCTGATCCTACCTGGCCTTGGCCCTCACGTTGGCTCTGCCCGAGAGCAGCAGCAGGGCCGCCGAGCCACTTCTCCCCCATGGCATCCTGCTGTTGTCCCCCCGATCTGCTGCACGCTGAAGGAAACAGCAGCTGCCTGCCCCTGGCTAGCTGTTTCCTTGTAAACTCTTCAATGCACAAACACATTAGAACAAGGACGGTCTCACTGCTGCTGGTAGGTAGGCACGTCACTACATCGCATCCTGGGGCAGGAAAGGAGGTCTGCTTAAAGGGGTGGGGGGGGCCGGGCAGGAGAGGAGCTGAGTGGTTGAATAGCTGACTGGGGCTGGGACACAGATCGAGGGAAGAGTCCGTCTCGATTGGGCAGAGGACACAACAGCTGCATGCCTGACTGACTGGCCGGCTGTTTGGGTAAAGTAATCCTGGGTGACCATCGTTTCTACCATTGGGACAAAGGGAAATGAAAAACATCCTTTGTGTTTGTGTGCCAACATTTTCACTTATTCGTTTACTGATTTACTGATTTAGTTGACCTCTGCTCTTTTGTCTTTATGGTTGTCATCTGATTTACTGTCACTTATTTACAGCACAGCTGAATATCAGGTCTCACACTGTCCACAGGAGGTTTTAAAGGCAGCAGTGAAAAACAGTTGCTCTTGAACTTCGGATCAGGACTAAAAAAGGGAGGAACATAAGGAAGAGCAGGGCGGCCACAAACAACCCTCAAAACAAGTGAAACAATAACACTGTTTGACACGGGTAAGAATCAAATTAGAAATCTTTTATGCATTTATATTCTGAACCCCCTAGATAACAAAGTTGGGGCCAGTCTGAAACATCTTTAAAAAGCTAAAACATAATAAAATGATAGTATGTATACTGTGCAGATGATCTGGCTATATACCTTGTTGCTGTTGACAGTTATACAATTAAATTATCATTTATTACCATTTGAATTACCTACTTTAACTTGCACCTCAAATCTTTCTGATATAATGCCATTTTTGTATCTTTTATTTAACTTTATAGCTTAAGTAATAATTATTAAACTGACTTTGTCTTTGAAATGTGATCAACATAGACAAGTGTATTTTAAGGTCTGACTGTCCTTCAGCTGCATTTATACAAAGGTGGGTTTGTGGACAAAAGGTAACTTGGTGCAGAGCTGAGCTAAGGCAGACGTTGGGTTTATCTTGACATCATAATGGACCTGAAAGTGAGATTTAATTGAAAATCAATACATCTGACTCATTGCAAGAGAGCCATTAGAGCTCTGCCCTAAGGATTGGAGTCTGCACCACAGCAGTATTGGGTAATGTTAAGATTATAAGAAATCTATATTGTGAGCTACTCAGTGGTTTCATTCTGATGATGAAACATTTTAGACTTTGTTCACAGAAAATGTTCTTAAAACCACAAGGAAAGAACACTTTTTAAATAAATGTTACCTCAAAGGAAACATTATTTTAGTAAGTACCCTCAATTTGTAAATGTCGTGATTTTAAAGGACCTAGTATAGCTACTTTTTAAGACTCGCAGACATATCAAGTTAATTGCATATTTAGCTAAATATATCTACTGGAAACAAACATGATAATAATTCAGTGTTGTTATTTTCAGTTCAGAAACTCTGATGCTGTGCCCCTGCCTGGTCCACTTTCAATTGTATCTAATACTAAACTTAGTCAGTGAAGCCTCCACTACAATATTGAACAGTAAAACACAAACATACCTGCTTAATTGTATTTTTACAAACATTCGCACTAAAATGAATCCCTAATTTTCTGTTAAAGTAAATTTGATCAGCTCCTGGATGACGTTTTCTTCACAAAATGTTCTTCTATAAAACCGTTTCCATTGCAAAACAAAGAAATAGATCCAGTTGTGTAGTTTATAACTAGTGATAAATCAATAGATGTTTTACACTCAGTATCTCTCTAACCAGATCAACACAGATTAGGAAGACCACAGGGATCCCTCTTAGGATTTGGCCTTCCTTACTAGCTCTCTTTCTCTCTACACACAATCATGTATCCCTCACTACTCTTTGACACTTCCTAAAAACAATGAATAGTCTCTCTCTTCATTCTCACCTTGATTTAGGTCCAGCAACACAAACAAATCGGCTCTCCTGTTACTTCCTTCTTGCCACATCCTTCCTCAAACATTTCTTTCCTTTCTGTTGAATCATATCTGACTGTTGTTTTCTGGTAAGTCAAGCCCTTTCTTGCCTCTGTGACCTTGGCTCACAGAAAATGCCCAAAGGAAAAAGAGAGTGGAGAACGTGATGCAGTGTCAACCTATGACCCGACAGATGGCATGTGACAGCCAGCTCAGCCCCATGGCCAGCTCATCCACCTCTTCGCAAGTAGAGCAACAGAGAGTGAAGGGGAGGGGGAAAGTGGAGTGGAATACAGGAGAAGGAGAAATGAGTGCAAATGCTGTAGGAGTAAGCTAATACAGGAGAGAAGGAAGATGTGACAAAAAACCCTTCGCCATGTTTTATTGCATTAGGACTGTTGGTCTAAGCTAAATGTTTCATATGTAAATACAAGGAGGGAAAACGTGTCCCAGTCTGAGCCGGACTCATTCACACTTCCAGATGGTTTGACTAACAAGCTACTGCTGAGACGGAGCCAGAATGATGGAGCCTGACACTCACCACTCACAGAATTAAAAACACGGTTCCCTGCCAGCTTGCTCA